CAACGCACCACCTCTCCTGTCATATGAGTACCTTTTAAATACGTGCAGATACAACGCACCACCTCTCCTGTCATATGAGTACCTTTTAAAAGACTGGACTCTTGTTTCACTCACTGTTACGTCTCAGCGCCTAAAACACTGTGAGAACAGCACTCACAAATGAGACAGGTTTGGGAACACACCTCAGAAGGGAACTGTCTGCCGAGCATGCAGTGCTCTGAGTTTGCTACCTAGTCCTGTAAAGACGAATGCATAAATACGTGCTGGGTTACCATGCCTACATCTTAACCTATAATAAAAGATAATTTGTAAAACCTCACAAAGAGATAGAACTGGATAGCCAAATAAAACATGCATTATGCACACACACAACATATATATACAGCAAGCAACACACACACACACCACAAACACACACACAATTTTGACTGGCTTTCTTAGGAAGACAGGAGACTTGTCAGTAAATGATTAACTTCGGGAAGAATAAAGTATAGAGGAGACACTGGCAAACAAGTAAACTCACCTTGAAAGACGAGTAAGTACCAACAAATATGTAAAAGACGTTAGACTAAAACCACATAATTAAGCACAGGGAACAAGACTATCTTGCCAGTGTTTGCTATCATTGGCAAACATCCATATTAACTCAGCTTCCCCAACTCCAAATACAAATGGAATAGTGAGTTTGGCAACTCACTGGAGAGAAAGACTGTATTACAATCTGGGTTCATATTAAAGTTACCTCATTCTTCTCAACTTAGATTTGACCTAGAGGAAAATTTTTAACAGATTCTCTTGGACAAGTGCCATAGTAAAGTTCAAAATTAGCATTTCAGATGCTAACCTAAAGAATTTCCATTTTGTTTCTCAAAGCTGAACTACACCAAAAATAAAATATGATGAACTATGAGTATAAAATGGATAAAAGAATCATTTTTTTCCAGAGGAAAAAAAGAAAATTGTAACGCTAGTCCCTTTCTTTTGATTTCATTCATTCAGTGCCTCATTCAGGGCTGAACAGGGTTGCACTCAAGCTGTTAATGTTAATGATGAAGCAGATAATGCTCCTCTTTCTTTCAAGTTTCATTATATATAAACGTGTGTGTATGTGCCTGTGTGTGCATGTGTGCATGCATGCCACGGTTAGCTTCAGATTATGCTGTGCAGCTAAACTAGCCTTGAACTCTAGTCCTCTAGCCCCTACTTCCCCCATGCTGGGGCTACAGGAGTGCACTACCACATTTATTGACCTACACCAC